TACATTTATTAACCTGCCGAGGCGAATGGCCCGCTCCCATGAGAGTAGTGGAAATAATCACCCCACTCGCGGAATATACTTGCGACACAGTTAAATGTAAATATAACTTAATATTTCCTCAATTCTTATCAAAATAAATATTTACCTGAAATCATAACATCTTCAACTTAGACTCATTCAATGCAAATCAACAATTATAATTATATAACGGTACCCAAAATGCATGGTGTAAGCCTAGAACTACCCGAACATAACAAGAATAGTAGCTACGTATGGACTCTCATCACTTCGTGCGTGCGTAGACCCACAATTAATCATATATTAATTAAGTTCACCTATAGGGAAATTTCCCTCTTACAAGGTTAGAAAAGAGACTTACCTCGTTTCGAGCTTATTTCGAACTCAAGAATGCGCTCAAACCCTCAAACCGGAGCCGAACAATCCGTAACTATTCAAATAGTGTAAAAACTAATCAATATTGGTTCAAAAGTTCATATTCCCACTATTAGGGTGATTACCCAACCCATATTACAAGATTCCTAAAATTCACCCCCGGCCCACGTGTCCGGATTTTCGAAAATTTTCGAATAAAGTTATTACCCATAACCTAAGGATAAAAAATATATGATTTTGCTCATTCCATAACGAATTTTGTGGTCTATTCTTTTTTTTATTAAAACCCTAGGTTTTACTCTAAACCCATAATTTCCACTAATTTACATATTGTAATCTACCCATAAACTATGTATTAAACTCACATTAAGTAGAAATAACTCACCTCACAAAGCTAGGTTGAAATCTCCCCTTTTGAAGCTCCCAAATCGCCCAAGAATGGAGTAAAATGTGCCAAAATGACAAACTCCCGTTATTTAATGAAGGCCAGTGCCTTCAGCAGTTTCCGCATCTGCGGTCCAGGGCCGCACTTGCGTCAACCGCATCAGCGGAAAAAGGGCCTCTTTTGCGGACCTTCGTTGGGCCATTTCTGCGGAAGCCCCACCGCTTCTGCGGTGAGGGAGCCGCTTCTACGATTTCTGGACTGGCCACCCATAGCCGCATTTGCGATGGCTTAGCTGCTTCTGCGGTCTCAACCTGCGGCTGGCCAACCGCAGGTGCGGTTATGACAGAAAATTGGAGCTTCAGCTTCTTCACACATTTTCAACTTAGCTCGAGCCTCGTCCGATTGACACTCGGGGCCCCGCCCGAACATACCAACAAGTTTGAAATGATTAAACGGACTTGATCGAACCCTCGGAACACTAGAAACAACATTTTAACCAGGAATCACACCCTAAAACCAATTGATTCAAACTTATGAACTTCAAGTTCTTCAATTTACTTCTAATATAACGGAACACACTTATACTACTCAGATTGACACCAAATTTTGCGTGCAAGTCTTAGATGACCTTATGGAACTATTCCCGATCTCAGAATTCCGTTCGGACCTCGATATCACAAAAAATTGCTCCAAACCAAATTTAAAGAACTTCAAAATCCTTAAGGAATCAACTTTCACTATTAGGTGCTAAAACGCTACCGGGTTATCCAAAATCCGATCCGGACATACGCCCAAGTCCAAATCATCATACGAACCTGTTGGAACCGTCAAATCCCGATTCCGAGGTCGTTTACTCAAAATGTTGACCGAAGTCAAACTTGGCCCTTTAACCCAACCTTAAGGAACCAAGTGTTCTGGTTTCGATCCAAACTCTTCCAAATCCCAAATCAACCATCACCGCAAGTTATAAATAAGTAAAAGCAAGTACGGGAAGTCTTCTTTAGCAGAATGAGGTTCTAGAAAGCAAAATGACCAGTCGGGTCGTTACACATACTAAAAATAAATTTCATATAACTAATTATATAGTATACACTTATTTATAACTTATCTACAACTTTCATACATTATTTTTACCCTGTTAAAATACATCAACAACATCATACAACTTAAATATACTTTTCATCCAAATTTTATACAATATCTCTTTTGTATATTTTGTATCTGATTTGCATATATTTTATATGTGGTGTGTGTTTCTTCCTCTCTAAAATTCCAATCAAAACTTTCTTTCTTAATACATTTTTTATACATATGAGCAATTTTATGTAAAAAGATAGTATTGATAACTTAAATACAAATTTTATATAGTGATTCATATATTATACAACTATTTTCAACTTTCATACAACATTTAAATATACAAAANGAGAGAGACAGAGAGAGAGAGAGAGAGAGAGAGAGAGAGAGCCGGAGGGAAAGAAAATAAGGATGGGAAATAATTGATTCCTTATTCAATTCCTAATATGAATTACTCATTTAATTCCTAAAATGTATATAATTGGTAATTTGTATATGTCTATGTAATTAATTTGAAACTTGAGTAGGGAAGATAATAAAGTTTCAAATACTATATAGGAAGGTATAAATCCCATAATGAATTAACTATATGTCACAGAGAGGGTAACGAGCTATATATATATGTATATTCAAGTTTTATTAATTATAGGATCTTAATGACAATGTCTTTTAAGGAACATGAAGAGATGAGTAACTTTGATCATAAGTTCAAGGTCTAACAAATAACCATATCAAATAACTTTAGTTGCCGTTCTCATCATTTGGAAATTTAATAAATTCATTCAACTTATAATCAACTTAAATAGTATTCGAGAAAGAAGGGAACTAATATCCTTCTACTATTAAAAATTATTCACATATGTCCTTCGTTATACTATATGTCTAAATCTACCCCTCCCGTTAGCAAATTACTCAAAAATATCCTTATTTCTAACGGTACTCCGGCGTGGCAATCCAAATCTTATATGGTCTGACATTTGGGTGAGGTGGATGCCACGTGTCATGCCACCTCACCATCTTCTTCCCCTTCCGTTTCTTCTTCCCCTCATACCTTAAAATGGAGGTTCCAAATTTTTTTCCTTTCAAATCTGGACAAAATTACTGTTAATCTCTGAATCTAACAAGAGTTGGCTTTCAGAATTGTAAGTAACTGCTTTTCGAAGATTCCAGAAGTTTTCATTTTAAAAGACTCACTTTCGTCTTAAGTGGACACTTGGAGGACTTTGCATCGGATTTATCATTTTCATTGGTGAAATTTGGGTTCTGCAAATACAAACGGAAGTTCGTATGCTTCGTTACATAATTCGCTTCATAGGTTTTATGAACAGATTGTTTTCAGTATATGATATCTATGATGATTTAATATCTCGAAGAGTGAACACAAGTGATGCTGAGAAATTTGCTGAAGTTTGTCCGTGCTGTTCTGCTGGTATTTTTGGGGAGTTCTCTGGGGAATGATATCATTTGTTTTTCTTTGTGGAGCTATGTACCATGGACTTGTCCTTTTATCTTGAGGTATTTTCCTGGTTGCAAACTTCCTTTTTTTTTTGTTGTATCTCTACGGTTTTATCAGTCTGTTTGACGGGTGTTTATTAGATTTTACATGGTCTTATTTAATGCTGTGAGAAAGCTTGATTTGTTAGATCCGGAAATTACCAGTAATTTTGTCCAGATTTGAAAGAAAAAATTTTTGGAACCTCCATTTCAAGGTATGAGGAGAAGAAGAAATGGAAGGGAAAGAAGATGGTGAGGTGGCATGACACGTGGCATCCACCTCACCCAAATGTCAGACCATATAGGATTTGGATTGTCACGCTAGAGCAGTGTTAAAAATAAGAGTATTTTGATTACTTTGCTAACGGGAGGGGTAGATTTTAACATATAATATAACGGAGGATATATGTGAACAATTTTTAATGGTAGAGGAATATATTTGGCCTTTTCCCTTTTTCAAAATGAAAAAGATTGGACGTTTCAATTATGTAATTAAATGCCTCAAGTGCTGTGGTTCAAAAGGCGCGTGACGAGGAGAGGCATTTTACCCGATAAGGGGCAAGATGTAAGTCTCGAGGTAATGGGCATAAGTCTGACAAATCTTTAATATTCAAATTTTATAGATTAATATGATAGAAATAAATATAAAAAGAAGGTAAAATTATAAAAAATAAAAATAAAAATTAGTGGAAATATATATAGAACAATTTATCAAGAATATATTAGCAATTGACTAAAAACTAATCAGGAATGCTTTATCCAATAAAAATTAATCAGACTTTTAAAAAGTATGTAAGTAGCAATTTATAAACTAATTTGAAAGAGCAAAAGAACTTGAAAAGAAGGAAAAATGAAGAAAGAATCTACTATCAGAAGCGATGAAGGATGATACATTTTTGCTTTATATTTTACAAATTATTATTTTTTTCTTTACTCGGAAGAAGATGAAGTGAAGAATAAAAATCATGGCTAAGAACAAATAATCTATTGACTTTTAAGTTTTTAATATTTTAAAATGTAATAATAAGTTGATTTTTTTTAAGATGTGATATTAAATTAAAGACTTTTTAGCAATTTTAATTCTAGTTTTGAGAGTTTTTCTAGGCTGGCGTCCCAAAGAAAAAACTCGCCCAGCGCTTGTGCTTACACCCAAAACAATGGAGCTGACGCCTCTCTTAGAGCAACAATAACGTTATTTCTGTATGACTTGTATGTCATGAGTTCGAGTCGTGTAAATAATACTTAATGTATGTGGAATGTTTTGTGCACCCTTTTAAGTGCGGCATATATTAAATGACAAAACGAAAAATTAATATAAATACAAAAGAGATAAGACGTAAACATAATAACCACGAATAAAATACAATTTGAAGTAGTTATTAGAGCTTATACAACAACACGTAAGTATCATTACTATGTGTAGTTCCAATTTTATCGAATATCCCTTTAACGAAAACATTACTACGACTTATCTAATGAATAAAATGCTAATCAAACATTAGCACGCGGTTTCAGTTGTACTATCCGAAGAAAACTCTCAACCAAAATTTCCCCTTGCAGTAAAAATTCCATTTTCACCCCTTTTTCTTTTCCTCTCTAAATCATCCCACATTTTCCCTTGCAAAAGAAATAGAGAGAAAAGAAAAAGAAAATCAGAACACAACAGTCTTATCAATTTCTACATTACAAATTGAAAAATAAAATTCAAAAAAAAAAAATAAAATCAAGGGGTTTTCAAATTCCCTTTCTTTTCTCTCTCCCACGTTTGGTTTCGTTTCTCCCTCTCTCTCTCTCCCCCTTCCCTCCTCTGTATTTTCGTTTCTCTCGTTTTCCTTAATATCTACAATTCTCCGGGAAGCTGGAATTATAATTTCCATTTTCCCGGCTGAATTCACCTCCATTTCTCAGATACGCTACACATGTTCATTTTCTCATTTTCTCCAGGTACCTTACTTGATTTATGATCGCTTTTATCCTTTTTTATGCATATTTAATATGGATATTTCGTTCGTATATGTGCATGGATATGCATTTGGTGGTTGTTTTAGTATTTTTGTTTGATGTGTCATATAAGGAAAAATAATCTCGACGTAAGGTGCTGTATTATTGATTTATAACATTCTGTTTGGGGAATAAAACTCTGAATAATTTATGTGAACGATGTATTTTTTCTCCTTTTTTTTCTATGAACATGGTGTCTGGTCGGCTTGTGCGTACCTCGATTATTTCACCAGCCGCCTGCTAACTCCTACTAGCGCAGATACCGGGTAAATTGCCCACCAAAGCTTAGGCATATGAGAAGAAATTAGAATTACCTTGTAATTGTGTTTTTCCTTTATTTGATAACGGTGGTGATGTAGTATTATTTTGTACAACATAAAATGTGGAATAAGATATAGGTATCAACATTGCCAGGATAAAGGTATTGCACATAGAAATCCATGTAAATTATTATTCATCTCCATCTATTTTTTTGTTTTTTGTTTTTTTTGGGAGTACAACAATGCAAACCTAACTTTAAGGTATTGTGCCTGGTCTTAGAATTGAGAAGTTTTGGCTGTTTTTTTGTAGGAATTTGCATTCTGTGTGGCAACTGAGGAAAGGTGGAATTCATCATATGTGAATTCGAGGTATATACTTGTACATACATGAACAATCTATCAAAGAGGGAGGGATTGAGAGCTTGTTGTACAGGATTAATCAACCTTTTCGTTTGTGAAATTTCTGTTTTTGGTTTTTTAATTGAGGCTCGACGATTGATTTGAATGTGCAGTAGAAAATGGATTCTCAAAATTCGGCCCCGACGACCAGCCAGGTCAACTGCTGTGATTGCGGGTGCAGTTGTTCTGTGATGAACAGGTCCTACTCGGGAACTTGGCTCCGGTCTGTGAAGCGAAAATATGATGAATACAATGAGAATAAGTTCATGATCCCAGGCTTTGTCTTACCTCTAAATGCTCGTATTGAGATCGAAAATGAATGTACAGCACTTAGGGAAATGGTAGGTAAGCAACAACAGACAATTCAGGATTTAAGTGCTGAGTTAGAGGAAGAAAGAAACGCGTCCTCCTCGGCCGCAAACGAGGCAATGTCGATGATTTTGAGGCTGCAAGGAGAAAAGGCAGAGGTTCAGATGGAATTTAAACAATTCAAGAGGTACACTGAGGAGAAAACGGCGCATGATCAGCAGGAGATAATGGCGTTGGAGGATTTATTATACAAGAGGGAACAAACAATTCAATCATTGACCTGTGAGGTGCAAATGTATAAGCATAGAATGATGAGTTATGGGCTCACAGAATCTGAGGCTGATGGTGATTGTGAGACGGAAAAGGGTCGTTTTAGTCGGAACAATAGTATGTCCGAGACTATCAATGGGCAATTCGAAGTTCCTCCATTTGATTACCCGCCGTTGAAATGCATTATTAATGAGAATCAAGTATACACAGAGGTTGATAATGAGGTTGTTGATGTTGAGAAATATGCATTTGAAGAGACCCCACGTTCATGCGATCAATTGCGCGATTTGGAGCATAGGATCAATCAGTTGGAGAGGACGCCAAGAAGTACCGATGGGGATCTTTTCAAGAACAACATACTTGAAAAAGTGATAGTTGGTCATTCCCCAAGGAGGACTAGACATCTTAGAAAGTTTTCAACTGACAGTTTAGGTTCTCCCTTTGTTACAACTAAAGAAATTAACTCAGATTTCATCTCAGATTCTCCAAGGTTTGGTGGAAATATTAGAAAAGCAGAATATTCACAAACAGAAGAGCGTTCAAACTTGAGGAAGGTTGATAATTCATCAGAAGTTGGAGATGACATGAGTGACCGAGTTTACACAATTGATTCTGTACACCGGAGGGCTGGATATGATGGTGTGCCAGACCCCAAGGCTTCAGTTGGAATGGTTGACGATTACACCCCGAGGGATTCATTGAATCATACAGATTTTGGAGATCCAGAGGTCACGAAGTTGTACCTTAGGCTTCAAGCACTTGAGGCTGATCGGGAATCAATGAGACAGGCTATGATTGCTATGCGGACTGATAAAGCACAGGTGATATTGCTCAAGGAGATTGCTCAGCAATTATGCAAAGAAATGTCCCCAGCCGCGAGAAGACCTTCAAGGAAGCCATCTGTAATTGCGAGCTTTTCTTTCATGTCCGTATTCAAGGTATGATATTAATCTATGATCAACTTTTTTGGTTTTCCATTAGCTACATTTTCACATTCAGAATGATGCCTATGGTCGTTTTCCTGCTTGAGAAAACAAATTTTGGGTCATTGCAACCACAGTAGTAGCAACTATTCGACTGTAAACATATATTTATTCCATTTGATTGAGTCTGTAAATTAACTGCCCCATTCATGGCGATGACTAAATACTAATTACTTTCTTTGGTAATACTCTTGAGATTCTTAACAAAGATTATTTTCCTGTACATTTTCAACTGAGCATGCGCCGAGAGAAACCTGAGATTGGGCGTTTAAAAAAGAAAACAATGAGATTGGGTTGGATTGTGTCTTTTCAAAACTTCTACTAGACCTTGAGTTAGCTTTTGTGGGCATTGTTTTTTTTTCTTGGACCAATGATGGGTGAGGTCTGGTATGGCTGAGAGGTGGTATATTGGAGTAATTTATGGTTAAGATTCAATAATATTTCCATCTTCCAAGTTCACTTATATCTTCAGTCAAGTCGTCCGAGGATATCAGTGGATTAGCGTCTCATGCTTATGTCTAAATAAGATGTTGAGCCCATCACAATGGGAAGAGCTGGTGCAAACCAATGTAATACCAACTTTTAGAAGAATCACATATCAAATGGTATGTTAGACAAGGTTACTTGTGATGTCAATTTGACATTACTTAAATCACGATGCATTTTCACAGGCATTTTCCTTTATTTCTATGTTTGTCCATATTGACATGGACGATGAAACACAGGTCCCTTCTTTAGTTACTTTTGATGGGCATCTTGGACTCTAACAAATGTGCTAAGACTAATTCCCTTCTTTGGATTGTTTTTCTTATTTCCTACGAGGAGAAGGGTTTCTAGGGACAACAAATCATAAGTACCATTTGAATTTTCCTCTATTATATTGTTGACACTAAAAGCAAACAAGGTAGACCTAAAGTCATGTAGTTAAGCTGTCTCTAAAGAACTACAATCCCTAGATCTAATGCGGACCTAGCTTAGAATAGACACAATGGTACAAAATGAACCATATGTTCATATGAACTAGTAGGAATCATGCTGTTACACACATTTGGTTTGGTTAAGGTTAAATGGGTGATTTGGAGAACCTCCTAGTTTATAGAACTTCCTGTTTTGCCTTAAAAGGATAAATTATTTACCTGCACTAGATGACTTTGGTCCGAATAGAGTGGAATGGATATAGAGGATTCATCTAGCCGATCTCAATTAGTTTGGGATTGAGACATTGATTGATTCTCGAGCCACTCTTTTCTTTACCATTTTTTAAGGGAGAGGACGGATGGGGTGAAAATTAGCAAAACAATTTGTTTTATTCTTACATCAAAATTTCTTACCTGTCTTACTCCCCCCAGTTTCTGTCTGTGTTCTGAGTTATAATCAAAGCTGATTTATTTTTGTTTTCTTTTTTATTCAGTGGATTGTATCTTTTGTTTTGTGGAGAAGAAAAGCGCGCAGATGCAAGTGAGTTGCTCGTTACAATTTGGTTTCTTATCAAGAAATTGTTTCTATACTGATTCAACTTTCTTATAATTCCCTTACCATATAAAAGAAAACAATAAACCTATTTCCCTTTTTGCCTGCTTGAGTTAGTTTCTTGTTTGGGCAAGTTCTAGTTGACACTTGATTAAATCTTGATACTTGTCAGGTACATGTTTGGATCGTCCACCAGCAATGTAGGCTTGCTAATGCTTTTAGACAAGGGACCTCGTGTGGGGCAGTGGAGATGTCTGTCGAGTACGCAAGTGTAAAACCAGCTCCTAGTTATTCCACATCGATTACTGAAGACTGTATCATAAACGTCAGTGCGAAATGGATTGTAGTCAGACTAATTGCTTTTTCATGTTACTTTCTTTTCCTCCCTATATTCCTTGCTGCTGCAAATTTGGGTTCACTCTGCGCTGTGACATTTTGTTGAACCAGCGGCATCGAAAATATAGATGTTCCACTGCCAGGTTGGGACTTGTGAATAACTGTGATCATATATGGCTTGTTTGGATTCTCTCAAGGTTTTCTTTTTCTTTTTTTCTGTATATTACAATTTGTGAATGAATTTTTTCTTTTTGTCAATCAGATGTTAGTGCTACTGGACTTTTGTAATCGTGATCGAAGAACTTCCTTGTTATTAATGTAGACTTGGTCCAAGACTGACTAAGGTTAATAAAGCCTAGCCGGAACCTTCTATGTTTACATAATGTTATTTTAGTTTCTGGTGAAATAGGGCGAATCCTTAAAAATGGAATTGGAAATTCTTGGAATCTCACTTCGCGAAATGCGCTCCGGTGTTTTACCTTCAAGTGAATGTTTTATTTTCTTTTCCCTTACCTAGATGTTTGTTGTGCTACAAATTATACAGTTACAAATTAATACTAGTAGTCTTTACTCTTTAGCACCTATCTCATGCCAATTATTCACTCATGTCAAGTATCCTCTTCCGCGTAAAGTAACCAAGGACTTGGAAAAAATAGAACCTGAGACGGCCTCAACGTAACAAATCTACCACTAACTCGAACACCCAACAAAGTGTGATGCATGAAAGTATGGTCGGAAAGCCGAGAAAATGACAAAAATGGTAACTTATGTTTTGGGGGTAGGTTTGAAATAATTCCTTAAATATACTATTGAGAATTTTGGTCCTTTAATTTTGTGATCATTTTTATCTCCTTTAAATATTTAAAAACCTATGGTTGTTAGGTTAAACGGAATTACGAAAAAGAAATTTAAACATAAAGAAAGTCCGGAATTTTAGAAATTACAACACAAAAAACTGCATTAGACATCAGAATAGACAAAAAACATATAAAAAATAAGCTGCAGACACTGAAAATAGATCCAAAATACCAAAAATTGCAAAATACCTCCAAATGCGAGTCCTCAGTAAATATTATTGTTTTCAAAGTTTTTGTTAAATCAAAAGAATTTGTAATATATTTGATAGAGATCAAAAGTACCAATTATTTTCTATAAATTTAAAAGGCCAAAACTACTAAGGAGTATATTCAAGGGTCTATTTTAAACATATATAAACATAAGGGACCATTTTTGTCATTTGGTAAAGCCTTTCTCCAGCTGAACTAAAAATGATACTCCAGGGAACAGTAAACACCCTCAAAGCCTCGGCGGCTCAAACCACACTTCCCAGCTCCTCCTCCTCCTCCTGCTCCAGCCGAAACAATGCTGGGTTCCAAGACATTGATATTCAAGAAGCAAAAACGAAAGAGAAAAAATGGCAAGAGTAAAAAATCAAAGAAAGTTTCAGTTTCCACAAAAGAAGAAGAAAGGGTTACCAAACAACACCAAATAGCACCACAAGAAGAAGTTGAAGAAGAAGATGATGAGGGTTTCAGCTTGAAAGCCTCAGCACAATCAGATTCCCATGGAGTTCAGCCACTTGGGAATCTTTATTTCAACCCATCATCTCATAATTCAAGAAATACCGGCCTAGGTAATCTCAAGACTTTAACTGATGAACTTGTTCTTGATATTTTAGGCCTTTTAGAAGGTACCCATTTAGGTATTTTGTCAAATGTAAGCAAAGGTTTCTATATTTTTTGTAACCATGAACCCCTTTGGAGGAATCTTGTATTAGAGACTAGTAAAGGTGGCTTCTTTTTTAAGGGTTCTTGGAAGTCTACTTTTGTTAGTGCATATAAGCAGCCTTCATTTCCAGTTTTGAGTTCTGGTTTGAAAGTTAGAGACTTTTATTCTGATTACTTGTTTCAGAGTTGGTTATGTGCTAATCTTGAAATGAAACCTGAATGGTTAGAAAAGGATAATATTGTAAGGAGGAAAGGAATTTCTGTTGATGAGTTTGTTATGAATTTTGAGGAACCGAATAAGCCGGTTTTGTTAGAAGGGTGCTTGGAAAGTTGGCCTGCATTGGAGAAATGGAATAGGGATTACTTAGCTGAGGAATGCGGAGATGTGAAATTCTCAGTTGGCCCGGTGGAAATGAAACTTGAAGACTATTTTAGCTACTCTGATCAAGCGAGGGAAGAAAGGCCGTTGTATTTGTTTGATCCAAAGTTTGCGGAGAAAGTTCCTCAGTTAGGAAAGGATTATGATGTCCCTATGTACTTCAATGAGGATTTGTTTAGTGTATTGGGTAATGAGAGGCCAGATTATAGATGGATTATTATTGGACCTGCAGGGTCCGGCTCGTCATTCCACATTGATCCGAATTCTACCTCTGCTTGGAATGCAGTAATCAAAGGATCCAAGAAATGGGTGTTGTTTCCACCTGATGTGATTCCACCCGGGGTTCATCCAAGCCCTGACGGCGCAGAAGTAGCAAGTCCTGTTTCGATAATAGAATGGTTCATGAACTTTTATAATGCAACCAAGAATTGGAAAAAGAGACCTATTGAGTGTGTCTGCAAGGCCGGGGAAGTAATCTTTGTACCTAATGGATGGTGGCATTTGGTCATCAATTTAGAGGATTCAATTGCCATTACCCAGAACTTTGTTAGCAGGTATGCTACTTTTGTCTCTCATATATCCGGCACTTGATATTGTTTTCATGCTTGGTGAGAAATTACCAGTACTAGTTTCCTCAATGGTATGCAATGTTTCTGCTTTATAAGGAGATGGACACCAGTGGTAAATAAATGCAAAAGTTCACAATTGATTAAATAGCTGTAACTCCATATCACATATATTCTCATGTTAATGTTCTATGTTCCGGTTATCCACTTGAGTCATTGTTCTACATAATCTTCATGTAACTAAAACTATCATATGAGAGGAAAGGGTTTATAGTGCTTTTATATCATGCAGGAAGGGTGTTGTTGGAGATGTAACATAAAAGTCTTCTTGAGTGAACTTTACTTTGAGTAGTACTTTTTTCTTTTATGACCTCACTCTCTTTTCAAGGTTTAGGAAGTGATCAAGAAAGGCAAACCCTGATAAGATGGAATGCTGGTTATTACCATGAAACTCTGGAACACTAAATAGGGAATATATATGCCAATAGTTGGAAGCATGCAGACTAGAAAATGTCTAAAAGATTGAAAATAATTACTTGATCTGTTTGTTTGGAGTAATCTTTTAGAGCATATTTTCCTCTCTCCTACAATCATGGCTTCAAAAGATTTTATGGTGACTCTACGTGATGATACAAATTCTTCAAGATGCAACGGAGCGTATGGTGTCTTTGCTTTACATCTAATCCTGGCATGTATATTGAGCTTTAAGATTTAGGATAAGCCACCTTTGAGCTGGATATTTTTTTAGTGATAAAAAGAATTATATATATTAAGCTTTAAGGTGGTTTATCCTAGACAAACAAACTTTAGTGAGTTGTTAAGCTACTTTACATTTTGTGTTTTATCATGGTTTTCTGGAAGCTAATGATGACACATTTTTGTACTTAGAACTATGGGATCGAATGTTTGTTGTGGCCTTTTTTTCAACAAAAGATACATCTTTAATGTTCTATTCTTTCTCCCTTTTTTTCTTATCCCTTAAACCATAGCCAGATTAATTCCGTTAAACCACAATAGCCTTAGTAGTTGAAGCGTTGTACTCAAACACAGATATGCATAGTCATGCGTAACTGAATTCTGCTTTGCTTCATAAGGAAAGAGTTCTGAAGTTGATGCCAATCTGAGATAGAAAGTTGTATCGTTGGTTTTGCAGCCTTGGTTGTGGGTTTTTTGTTGTGCTATGGATAAGAAACATCTTCCCTAGATATGTCAAAGTAGTATTAGTTGAGTGCACTTAGTTCGAACATAGCATGGGAATCTTTCAGGGCAACTCTCTCCCTCCACTTGAGTGTCTGTTTAGGATCTCCACTGATATTTTCCGGACGACTCTCTTCCTCCCTTGTGCATCTGTTTAGGATTTCCCCTGAAATTTTCGGGACAACTCTCTCCCTCCCGGTGTGTCTTGTTTAGGATCTCCCGTGAGTTTGGAGAGGATAACTTGTTTCAAAACTCACCTGGCGAATATTAAAATTCCTTGCTCTTGCCAATATGTATTTTACTATGGATATTTACCAACTGTTATTTCTCTTCTTGCAGGAGGAATTTACTGAATGTTCTGGAATTTCTAAAAAAGCCAAATGCTTGTACTCTTGTGTCGGGAACAAGTGACAGAGTCAATTTGCACGACAAATTTAAGAATGCCATTGAAGCATATCTTCCCGGTACCATTGATGAGTTGACTCTGAAAGACGAGGAGAAAAAAGCCCAGCAGAAGAAACCTTCCTTCTGGGAATCGGTCACCGATTCCAAAGCAGGCGCTTTCAAATTTTCTTTTTGATGAAAGGCCAGTGATGAGATCTTCACCAGTTAGTTTCCAGGCAGTAGACTTTTACTAATCTTTTGCGCCAACAAATGAAGCTGCATGATCAAAACTTGGTCATTCTTTACATGACAAGAGGGATTATTAAGGCAGTTATTGACATTTTGGCATCAGTTATTCATCATTTACTGTTGTAAGCTCTGTTCCATTTGCTGTATCAACTACATTTGCTGTCTGATTTGCAGACACAAGGAGCAAAGGAAACCAAAAAAAATTCTCTTTTTTTTTTTCTCTTCAGAATTGTTTACTAATCTAACTACTGATCGTGTGTTGTACCTATTCTAGAATCAAAAAGCAAAATAAAAGTATAGTATCAAAATATAAAAAAGTTGAAGAGTTTGTCTGTTATTGCTTTTTAGTTGGTGAATTTCCAATGTTGATAATTTAAGTAACAAATACTCCTATATTAACAGAATGTTGATTGACAATCTTCAATGTTAATGTCAAACAAAATCTAATACTAAAATCTGAGCCCTTTTCTTTCTTCAATTATTTCATTAATTGACTGATTCAAATGGCAACAGTAAAGACTGAAGCATGAATTCAGTGTCTAACACTAAGCGATATTATACGACTAGCTATCTGTGTTACAAAGTATTTTACTAAATTTATAGACTATCGAGAGCAATGTTAAAATTATCACGAAGTAACAAGTACTTATAAAATTTTCTAACTTGGTTCTATAACCTCTATATTAGAAATCTTAATAGAAAAAAAAGGTGTTAATGCATTAAAATATGATATATGGTAGATTATACTGTGTCTCAAGTTATATTGCCTATGCTCCTTTTGTTAGTTTTTTACACTTGAAGAAAACAGAGAATGTGGTTTGTGCGGTTCAGTAGTCCCACACCGGAACAAGGTAAGGAGTAGACAACAGAGATGTGCTATTTAAACGAAGGCCCTTTACCTTGTTAAAGCATACCTTTCTCGGCCTTTTGGCTAAGATCAAGTGTAGTATCTGTTCTTATCAGTTTAATATCTGATATGTGGGCCATCGGCCCACACGATATTAACTTAATTTTTTAAGGGGAAGGTCCATCAAGGTAGCTTGCTATCTGGGCCTTCGCGCGTCGCCTAGGCGTTACACTACAGCCCAGGCCTGGCGCACCCCACCAAATCTAGTTTAACATTTCCGGGCTTTGTGGCCCAGTAGTATAGTGAACAACTTTGTGAACAGAACAAGAATTTTTTCCGAGCTCTTTGGCCCAATATATAGTGAGCCATTTTTTTCCAGGTTTTTGTTGTTTTCCCTTTGCCACCAATACTTGGCCGTATTCTTGAATTTGAAATGAGAAGAAAAATAATGCGACATGAGATAATAAGCAAGGCTTCTTAAATCAGAATACCACAAAGCTGTTTGACATACAGTAGAATCCAAGTAAGTTTTTTACCTTAAATTTTGTATTCTTTGTAACTTGTATATACGTCCAAAAAATGATGATACCCGTCTTTAGTAATTAAGAAAAGGTCTATGATTTGTAAGTGAGTCGTGGGAAGGGAATACCAAGATTTTAGCTACACAATAAAGTCTATACAAAAATTACTGAACGCGTCAGAATATGCAAAGTAGAAGCAAGAGCAAGTCGGAAATGATTTCTGTCGTTTTCTTTTTTCTAAGCCTTACTTTGGGCCATCTTTTTTTAGAAGTTTAAGCGTTTCGATGTACGAAGGAATTTTTATATTTCTATGCCATATAGAAAATTATATCACATTCAATGTTTAATGTTTGATATAATTACATTTAGTATACTTAATTACCAATTATATACCATAGTGGTTTTTAAGGGTATTAATTACACTCCTAATTAAATGGTACCGTATATTTCTTCTAATACCAATCCCCCACGTTTCTCTCTCCAATTCCCACACCTTCACCCACATTTCCCTCCCACACCCACGATTTTTGTATCAAAATCCTATTATTTCTTCCATAGCCAACGCTTTGAATTCGAATTTGGGTTTTCAAAAGACATTGTTTGTTTGGATTGAATGTTGTTGCAAAGAATTGAGAATTCTCTCTACGTCTCTCTCTACCTCGCAATCCCAAATTTCAGTAATATAAGACGAAAGGAAAATAGAGCAGCAATTCCACCATTGACAGCCATTAAAAAGCTTTGAAGCTTTGAATTCTAATTTGGGTTTTCAAAAATCATTATTTGTTTGGATTGAGTGTTGCTGTAAATAATTGGGAATATGGTTTGAAGTTTATATCTCAATTTTGAGGGGTTTTGGTGAAGATTAGACTTGGTTTTGGCTGAATTTCAGATTGAAACTCGAAGAAGAAGAAGAAGACATGACATACATTATATTGTAGAAATTGTAGATAAATTGTAGAAAATTTGTAGAAAAATTGTAGATTGTTGTTTATTTATTTTTGAGCTTTGTGTTTTTGTGTTAAAAGTTTTGATGGGAGCTTGTTATTCCACTTCGTCTGTTTTGGAGCTAACTTGTGTAGAGGAGAATTTTTTTAAAGTTTTATATATTGCTATACCTTTAAATTCAAGAAAGTATGATTGTATTGTATTTAAAGAGGCGTGAATTTGTAGAATAGGTTGAATGTGAGGAATGAGTCAAATAAGATTCACAATGGCTTGTTTTCTACATATAATCTACAACAAAACTACATATCATTTGAAAAATTAATATGAAAATACAGAATTTCAACGTTTCTACAAATTATCCACAAAATTTCTTAGGAAGATCTATCCCTTCATCATGTTTTTTTGGATTCCATATTTAATATAACAGTTTCGTAAGGAGTAACAAGAGCATATAGGAGAATCACAAAATTGTAGCATAATCGGGATTTTCGACATAATTGCGTTTTTTGCAGAAGATTTGTAGAAGTTTTAGTCGTTTTTTATTTGTGAAAACTGAAAACAAAGCATCTACAATCAGAATACAAATAATCTACAATTTATCGACAAAATATCTACAAATTGGGTATATTGAACTTTAATATCCCAATTCCCATTCAATTGTAGCATAATTGGGATTTTCGACATAATTGCGTTTTTTGCAGAAGATTTGTAGAAGTTTTAGTCGTTTTTGATTTGTGAAAACAGAAACAAAGCATCTACAATCAGAATACATATAATCTACAATTTATCTACAAAATATCTATAAACTGGGTACATTGAATTTTAATATCTCAATTCCCATTCAATTGTAGCATAATTGGGATTTTTGACATAATTGCGTTTTTTCAGAAGATTTGTAGAAGTTTTAGTCGTTTTTGATTTGTGAAAACAGAAAATAAAGCATCTACAATTAGAATACAAATAATCTACAATTATCTACAAAATATCTACAAACTGGGTACATATTTGGACTCGACATGCTTCCCCTGAAATGTATGTTTCACATTTTTGATACATATTTTTGTCCAAAACAGTACTAAATCATCCACTTAAATACAATTTTTATACAATGTTGTTCAACTTTCATACAATAGGTAAATGAATAAAAGAAAAATAAATAAACAACAGTCTACAATTTTTCTACAATTTCTGCAATATAATATATGTCATGTCTTCTTCTTCTTCTTCTTCTTCTTCTTCTTCTTCTTCGAGTTTCAATCTGAAATTCAGTCAAAACCAAGTCTAATCTTCACCAAAACCCCTCAAAATTGAGATATAAACTCCAAACCATATTCCCAATTATTTTAAACAACACCCAATCCAAACAAATAATGATTTTTGAAAACCCAAATTTGAATTCAAAGCTTCAAAGCTTTTTAATGGCTGTCAATGGTGGAATTGCTGCTCTCTTTTCCTTTGCTTTGTATTACTGAAATTTGGAATTGAGAGATAGAGAGAGATGTAGAGAGAATTCTGGAAACAGAGTGTATCGCAAAAACAGAGTATGGAAAATTTGAAACGAAGCCGACGATAATTATGAATGTGCGTGATTTGCGTTGTGGAAGATCTGAAGAATATTTAATTCCCAATTTTGCGCGCTTAAATAAGGAATCCTACAGCTACAATGATTCCTTATTTAATGCATTGTATATATTATGTAGGAATACTATTAGCATGAATGGTAATATGCAAACTATGAACATATTTGGTAATATAGTTTCCTATATGGTATATATACGAAAATTTCCCATGTAATTATTATCTAATACTTTTGAGTTAAATATTATTATACTATTCTAAGATATGACTAAGTTTTAATTTTTATTTGCTTAGCCTAATATAAAGCTTGCATCTTAAAATTTTATAGCATTCACATCCTAAGAATTTATTTTACATTCATGAGGTAAAATATATTAGATATAGACAATATCAAAGTGTTACGAGTTTGAATTTACTAACATTCTGTTTGGTTGTTTAATCTTCTCATTAAATTCACCATAAATAACATTTGTATAAGTTATACGGGAACTATGTGTTATTGTATGTGGAACAAAAAGTGAAATATATTGGACTATTGAAAGACAAAAATACCCTTGAAGTACATAATTCTTGTATAATAATAATAACAACAACAACCATTCTTTCATTCTTAATCATCACATAATAATCCTATGTTTTTAATTCGTGATTAACTTGTTTCCGAACCAAAAAATCCCTTAGTCTTTCTTATTTTTTTGTTAATTGTGTGAAAAGGAAAAAATAAAAATCCTTTACGTAGCGGTAGGTTGAAAAATGTGATTGCATGCTAATTCATGCATGAAAAAACACTTCTCCAATCGTTAACAGAATTAACGAACTGATCATCAATATTATTCCGATCCATTTCATCTTTTCTCTTTCCTCACCATTTCCAACAATTTCTCCTCATTTAATTTCTCCCCAATTTCTTCCAAATCCCTAAGATATCATTTTCATTTGCCAGCTTCGATATTTGAGACATCATCTGTTGTTCAATTCTTAAATTTTCAGAAAATTCAGATTTTTGGTACGCTTTTTGTGCAATCGAGTGATTTAATATATGAGTAGTTCGGCTCATTTTGATTCTAGTGGAGTATTTAATTTTTGGGATAAAAAAAATTAGGGCTTCATTAAGGCTTCTGTTGAATTTTGATGAATCAGCAATGGCATGTTTAGATGGTATTGGGAGAAGTTGAGATTTTGATTTGAGCTAGTAGTATTTGTTTTGGTATTTTTTATTTTTGGATGGGGAATAATTGTGTAGGACCCAAATTGGCTAACAATGGGTTCTTACAATCTGTTACTGCAGCTGTGTGGAAACCTAATCAATCAGAAAATTTACCACTCCCAAATGAAGGGGAAAAAAGCAAAGAGAATTCAGTTGATTCATCAAATACA